CGAGCACTGTTGGAAGCGATTAAATCGCGGCTCCGAGCGTTTTCTCGGCCACGAAATCGTATTGATTATTGTCTCGGGCGCGCGATATCGCGCGAGAGTATCGTTCTGGCGTGTGTGCACGCTCCCCGGCCGCGATTCTCGCGAGCGCAAGAAAACCGACATCGATGAAAACCGAGAGATATTCGCGCGCAATATCTAATACATCGCGAATAAATGTTTAAACAAAAACGCAGCGACATATTTATCGGTAAATATCTAGCGCATTTCTCGCAATCATACGTGGGGTTTATTAAGAAAAAAGAAAGACCGTTATCGCCAGAGCCAAGGACTTGAATTCTAAATACTTCTATTGTATATCTAACAAATATTAATATGTCTAATAAACATTTCCTAACGTACAATAAATTGTTACTACATATTTGCTGTACAATATACTTATATGATATTTAATACATTGTGTAAATATATTTACGCCGATCTCTTTCGTGCAAAATACGCGAAACATCAAAGCGAAATCCAGATCTTCCGCTTGATGTGTCTTGCGATAACAATCATTCTTTTTCTTCAACGAGCCGTATTTGTGCGCGAGAAATGCCGCAACGTTTGCAAGTTGAACCAATTGCTACGTGTAACAACCGCAAGTATATACGTAGCACATTATTATATATGTATGTATTAAATATAAATATATATGATACATGTTATAAATATAAATATAATATATTACTGTGTAAATATATTACTTACGTCGATCTCTTTCATTTTCGTGCATTTTCGTGCATTTTCGTGCGTGAAATATTGTTCGCCTGGTGTGTCTGGCGCGATAACAGTCATTCGTTTTCTTTAATGAGCCGTACGTATATATTTGTGTGCGCGAGAAATGCCGCAACGTTTGAGCCTGAGTTGAGCCACGTCCAATTGCAAGGTGTAACAGCCGCAATTACACGAAAGAGGTGCGAAACTCAACATCCCGCGTTTACTTTGTGTCGGATAATATAAGGAGGAGAGGCGAAAAACCGATCGCGAAGAACGAAAATTTTATCCGATCGTTCGCGAGCTATGAAAATTGATATCCGCGATTACTGTAATCATTATAATTACGACGTTTCCTCAATCGGGTTTTCCTCCTCGCACCTCGTGAATTTCGTAACGCTCATCGGGATAGATCGCATCGGATGCGGATAGAAAGCGCGAACCGAATGGCGCTGCCGCACCATCCCGGTGCTGAATCGGCAAGATCTAGACGTTGATGTGTGCGCGCGCGGAATAGATCGATCGACAAATGTACGAAAACGAGCGTAAAAACCTAAGCACAGCTCGAAGTCATTAATCGTTTGCAGATATTTGCAGTGTTTATCGTAATTGATTGACAGACCGGCAAAGATAACGTAATCGCGTCCGATTCGCGCTCAATGGATCGTTGTACAAATTGATGGAAACAGGTTTTGAAAACAGTTTTGCACACAGCTTGAGAACGATAATCGCGCTTACCGCGACATGTAGATACTAGACGTAGATACTTGTAATTACAAATTTTGTTAGATCTCTCAACGAACCGTGATCTCTCTCGCATTATGGAAATGATTTACGGACCGATGGAAGCAAACCGAAATAAAATACGGAAACTTTCTCGAACGCGGAATTATTAAAAATCTACAATAACAAATTGGTTTTTTCTCTTTTTAACATCCCGACAGTTAAATTTCAATTGTTTCAAAATTTTGCATGTTTTTTTTTTTTTTTATTCCGCCCGTCGGTGTTTTAAAAAATTCTCGATGTTTCACAAAAATCACATTGACGAGAGTAAGTAAAACGTATAAAAAAAAAAAAAAAAAANAAAAAAAAAAAAAAAAAACACTTTTATTTTGAATTACTCGATTATCGTATTATCTTTGCTTCTCATTTTCCATGCCCAAAGAATTCGCGAACAGGATACGAGATATAAATATGTATATGCGATCGTATAATAAATCCACGTAGTATATTTAGACGTCAGATTTGCAGATTATCCACGTACACGCAGTAGTAGTTGAAGAAGAATAATATTCTCTCTTGAAGTATACGCGATACTCCAGATCGATATAAACAAGTTCGAACTTCATCAAATCTCTCTGACACACTTTTTCTCACGTATACGTGAACTAAAGTAATTGCTGCCAAACGAATGTATTTAACATAAAGAAGATGACGCGCGTAATAAAGAAATGAAATCGCGTCGTTCCGTCTCAAACGCAAAAGGAATCAAAAGATCACTCGCGTATGAATAACCCGAGTGTTTATTCGCAAACTCTCGAAACTATTCGAGGAGATCGTAAAATACACATATACGAGATGCTTCTTGCACATTCCGCTGCACAACTTCGAGTGCGCTGAAATATCCGCGCTGTACCGCGAGCTTCGGAAATTGCCAACAAACAATGTTCTTATTACTCGAAATAATTAAGTGATCGCTAGATTATACGGCAATAAATTTATGTGCGAGATATTGATGTGATAAGTCAACGCAAGAACGAAGAGTACCGGTTACACCGCGCTAATTATCACATCAATGAAGTTTCGATAAACACGCGCAATTATTCACAATTGCCTGACAAAACGGGTTTAATTTGTTTTCGCTCTGTTGCGCGGATGTTTTTTTTTGTTTTTTTTTTTTGTTTTGTTTTTTTTTTGTTTTGTTTTCTTTTACATATTTGCGGTAGCAAAGTGCATATTCTTGGTTGCAACGCTTCCGGAAGTGTTTACTATTCGAGCAGTGCAATACGCACAAACACTAAACTTAAGTAATCGCAAGCTGAGAGAGAGAGAGAGCACTTCTGAGGACGAGGGGGGAAAGAAGAGAGGACGGCACAGCCTTGCAACGTGCATAGGTGTAGCTTACAATATGTTATTCAAAGAAATCTGCAAACCTGTTTTTCTTCTTTCCTTTCCGAAGCGGTTGTGTAGTTCTTACGTTTTACATATGTATGTATGTATATGTTATATATATAAAATTACATACGTGCATATTTTACGCCGATAAGTATAAACGAGAGACACAGACTGCGAGTTCGCCTCGGAATTTTAGGACGCGGGCAATCGCGTTTGTGTCGACGGTCTCCCCGAAGGAAGATACGAGAGAGTTCTCTTCCGTCTACGCCATTGGACTTGGAACTCGCGCGGCGAGCAAAGTTGCATCAAGCCGCGGGCCGTGCGCGCGTACCAACGCTTCATTTGCGATTCTACGTGCAAGAATGATGCCCCGGCCATTTTTTGCCGCTCATGATCCGTTAAAATGGTTGCGGGGCGGCGTGAAGTAAAACGATCGAAGATCATCTCAGACTCTCTCATGACTCGCTCGCAACAACGTAGTAAATGCGTAACCTCAATATATTCGCGAGAAAATATTCAGAAAATGTTTAGAAAGCCATTGGAAAACAATTTTCCGAACACCTCGCAAAACGAACGCGCGCGAACAAACGCGTTTCTCGAAGAGAATTCACGAAAGTTCTCTCTTACAAAATTCGGAGATCTCGCCGAAAATATATCTCTTGCGTAACGAGACAAAAAAGTGCAACGAGAAAGAGATGATCACGTGAATTGCAGCATTGTGTGCCGCTGCGGAGGTTAATTCAAATTGGTTCCCTGATCCCGACGACCGGACCGGCCGTTAGCGGTTAGCGGTTAATTATCGCGGTAAAAAATCGGAAACAGCCGCGTCGATCGAGCCGCGTAATTACAGTTATCCCGGTGCAAGAGCGCGCGCAATCTTCGCCGAGCTCCGCAACAATGAAACAGTCGTAATTCATTGTTGTCCATGTGTTGTTCCATTATGCGCGCGCGTGCGAATAACGACGGAGAGATGGATGAAGTAAATCAAATACGGTGATATATTTTACGAGCGAGAACACGTTTGAAGGAAACGCTTTTTCGAATTTCGCCGTATGAGATTTTTTTTTTCATTTCGATCCCGCGTTTTCATTCGCGGGTGCGAAATTGACGTCCGTCCGTTCGGAAGAAAAAAATCTCCGCGACGCAACTCGGCGACACAAAAGCAACGCGCGCGTTGATCTTTCACCATCGCCGTCGTTTTAATAAAGTTACCCATCAACCTTATAAACACGTTTGTAATATGTGTACATTTCTTTGCAACTTTCTACCTCTTCGTGGAAGTAGAAGTGCGGCGCGCACACATTATACACACCGTTATGTCAAATGACCACGGAAATTCGTGCGGTTTTCAATTTCAAACTGGGACTAAAAACTTCAGCCTACTTTGATGTGCCAGACAAGCGCCTTAACCTTTCAATAACTCGGAACGTGTTCTTGATACATGTTATTACCACCACGCTGTGCCACGCCGCGTATCTAATGCTTCGCTAGATGACTCTCATCGGCCACGAGAGATCCAGACCTACAACAAAGTCAATCTTGATACACAGGTTTCTCGGTCTCGTCAATAGTAAAAGGATAAATGACGCGCGCGTCATTCGTTGTGTTTCTCATATTTAACGGTCAGGTTTCTCGCGAAGGAAGTTTTTTGTTTGGAATTTTCTTCAATAAAACATATTGACCGAAACCGCATTTCCATTTTTTCGTTCGCTCAATTAATTCTGCGCGTTTACTGATTCATAAACTTTAACGCGCATTTCTCTTCTTCTGTTTGCTATTTATTTTGATGTAAGAAATTTTGTCTATTTGTAATTTATACGTTCGTTATTATTGTTGTTGTTACATAAATAAAGTGAAACATCCAACGATCGGCACTTGAAAGACCCCGTAAATTTTTTCTTCAATCTCTAATGTTGCCAGAAACAAAAAAATAATAATTCTACTAATAAATGTCAAGTAAAAAGTAACCACAGACAAGAAAGTTAACGACTGAAAAAAAAAAAAAAAAAAAAATCAATCAAAAGTGCCGATCGTTGCGAAGAGTTGCTATATAACCATAGGCTATTCCCTATTATCTAATACTTTACTCGTTCGCGTAGCGAGCAGTAATCGAACGTCGTTCTTGTGTGCAGGAAGTGCTGCTTGCGCACAGCAAAGCCGCCGCTCATTGCGAGCCGATTACAGTGATCCTGGCTGAGATGGAGGCGCCGGAACTCGCGGCATTACTTGGCTTCGTTTACACCGGAAGCGCCACGGTGCCGCGAGTGCGATTAAATGCTTTTCTGCGGGCTGCGGAGACCCTGCGCATTCGGCTTCCGCCGGTGCCCATGATCGCGAGCACTTGCGGCGAGCAAACGACCGATTGCAAACCGGAGGACATGAAGGACGTCAAGGTCTGTTCCAAGTATCTGCAGTGCGATCAGTATCCCTGGTACAGTCCCGGAAGACCGTCCTGTGAAAATATAGCCGACAAGAAGGAACCCTGTGCGAGAAATTTTTTAACGGACGACAACATAAATATTCTCCGAGACACCAGAATGTTGCACGAATTCAACACAACGAATCCCGGTCCGTCGTTCGGTCATGCTGGCATTTCGAACGCGTGGTCACGCGTCGGTTCTCTGCATCAGGATGGAAGAATCGGCGATCGTTCCGCGGAAAAGTGTTACGGCTCGATGATGCTCGCTGAGAGAAATCTCGCGATGGCTCCCGAATCGTCGTCCTTCGATGTGTATCATCGAGGCGCGTGTCTTTCCAACGGAGGACCGCCCGCGGAGGGATACGCCGATCATCTGGAGAGAATCAGAACGGGATACGAAAGACTGCAGGTGGACTGTCCGATGGACAAGCCGATGAGCGTTCTCGGTTCGGAGAGCGAATTTTGCGGCAGGATGCGAGGAGACGCGGATTGCCCCTACCAAGGTGTTGTATCGTCCTTGCAGTGCGCAGTCACTGGCCGGACGAGGTCGTTCGAGAAGTCTTCCGATTATTCCACGCAGACGGCGGGCGAGGATCTCAGCTGCGGCGAAAGTTGTTGTAGGTGGAGAACCGCCCGCAGACACGTGGCCAATAGCGTCACCGCGTCGCCGTGGCGCCAAATCGTCAGGCCTCATCATTCACCGAGAACCCCGCGACCCGTCCTCGCGCCCCAACGTCACGCCGATGACGTGAGTACATCTCAAACGGTAATATATACAAATATTAGCTCGCGCGTGTTCGGCTGGAAATCGCTAATTGATTTGATCTTATTCAGGCGTTCCGTTACGAGATCAAATTTTTGTTTTGGAATTGTTTTTGTTTATATAAAAATATCACACATTTTTTCAAAATATTAAAAATATTAAAAACAGTTTTTAACATTAAAATTAAATTTGAAGGTAATTTTAATTTTGTCAAAAAATGCCGAAAAATGAAAATTCATAACAATAAAATATTCTTAAATACTGTTAGTAATTAGAATCGATGTGTTCGTCGATCGATACTTCAAAACATCGATCGTCCGATTGTCGAGGAACGGAAACACACAGCTCTGTGCTCACGATTCCGAATGATTACGATTCACGATACGATTTTGACCTAGCTGTCGAAATCCCGTTGCTAGAAGGGATATTCGTTCTTCTTCTTTCTCGCGTGAACAGATTTTACTTACTGGTGTGGGAACTGTGCCGAACTGTAAATAGCAGTAAACGGCGCACAATCGAGCAAAATGTGTTTCGATTGCTCGATCAAATAATCGGGTATATATTCGAGTGTATTCTTAAATTTCAATTTAATCGTCGCAAAAACAAGGCAAAGATTTCACACATCCTTCATTAATTAAGTCCTTAACGACCGTCCGGCGCGTCATCGTCGCGCAAAAAAAAGAAGTAACGAGATAAAACGTTTTCAATATCCTTCTCGCTTCTATAAATTGCTCGCTCGTTAATGACGAAGGTTAATTAAATGAAAACCACAGCGTGCGATTGCACCTGTGTGAATCCGACATCAACGTCGATTTCTGTCGGTCTTCGATTCGAGTTAACGCGCGCGAGACACAGACGCGCCTTCGCCGAGAACGCCGACGTTCTTTTCTCTTGCTCCGATTTTACATTTATTCGCCGATCCGTTATATACCATAAAATAAGATTTACAACCAAGATGCAAGACGCGGTTTTATGAATACGAGATATAACGTCGTTTGGATTCGAGACAAAACGTTGAAGAAAACACTCGTTTATTCACAACATAAATCGTTCGTTGTAACTTCCAACGCTATCTTTCTACTCTATCTCATGCGATATATTTTATACCATTGCATATTAACGAGACACGTGCAAGAGTAAAAAAAAACAAAACCCAAGACAAACATTTCGCGAAGGATTCGCCATTTGTTGGCGCTGATTGTCGTCGTCTCGCGTATCAGACGCGCGCGCATCTTCTAACAGGTGACAAGGTGCCGCTTTCAGCTGCATCGTCGCCCTTCACTTGAGTTCGATGTCGTTCCGCTTAATGCACCCTATCGGTTTATCCCGCTCCGATCGTTTATCAGGTCGGTCCCGCGCGCGCGCGCCGTGATTGCGCATCGCCAGCTGGCGACGCCAGCTGCGCGCGTCTTGATCTCCGCGAGCGAATCGCGCGAATTTCTCTTTCGACGGGATGCGTGCCAGATTTTGTGCGTTCGATGACGATCGTGTCGCGCGGCAACTGGTCTGGCTTTTGCGCAAGCAGCAGGCCCCGCAGCTTTGCTGCTGCAAGATCGGGTCGAGATGTAGTCGCCAGATAAAGACGCGACTGTGCACGTATGTATGTACGCAATCTCGCGTCGCCGAGATTGCCCTCCCTCTACCCCTCTCTCGCGCGATATATAAATTGACGCGGTTCCGAACGTTCATTTCGCGCACGTCGAAAGGATCTCGAGATCCTTTCGATAGCGCAATTTTTTTCACCAACTTTGTATTCGCGGATAATAATATGTTTGACACGCAATATCACACACGTGTATCTCATAATTGCGCAAATCGCAATCGTATAATTGTGCAAATACATCACGATAACGGATCGGCGAGTTTGACGCTTTCGTCGTATAAAACTCTTTTCTTTGCGAACGAGCGTTATAGAAAGTATCGGCCACCACCTTGCGTACCCGGAAAAACAATTTTAAAAATAAACGGACCGACAAGAGATGTGGTGTTTCAGTAGTTAGTGGCGGCAGCACGTCGATTAGCAACAGGTGTGAAAGTTACGATTCAACCTGGCGCGAATTCCCCGCGCGTTATTCTTTGCGATCCCGCGGAAAAATATCGGCGATACCGTACCGATTTACGATAGGTATATTTACTTTCGGCGCGAATTTCGCATCGCGCGAATTCAATCTCGACGATATTCGAGAGCGCGCGCGCAACACGTTCGTATCGCGAGTAAAACTATGCGTTTTCATCAATAATTCGCGTTTATTGGAATTTCGTGAATTCTGCTCACGATCATGTAGTTATCAGTAGTTGAGCGGGTTCGATTGTGCGACCGTAAAATCGAACCGCTCATTATTACTAAGTCTAACTACTTTCTAATTGCTGCTTTCTTCTGGCCGGTTCATTATGCGGACGCATTCCTGAATACGCGACTATCGCTGTACTAAAAGCATTTTATTTGGCATTAAAGATGGGAAATTGTCGACGAACGACACGTTCGATTGTGCCGCTCGGCGACTTGGATGTGTCGTTTTAGAAAACTGTTCTTTCTTTTATTGCGCGAATAAACGTGCGGTGAACGGCAATTTCTTTTTTTCGATTATAGGTACTTGAAAAGTCGCGTCTTTCTTTTTTTTTTCGAAATAAAACACACGCGAGAGATATCGGTGTCAAATCAAGTATGCAATTTTCGGTCAAAAGTGAACGAGGCCCCAGTTTTTTAAATTAATTAATTTTATTGTATTATATGCAATGTTTTTTATTACAATACTCGGTTCACAATGTAAACAACTGAATTAAATTGAAATCGTGTTATAAAACGTAGTACACGCGACACAATTGCGCACAAAACTCACGATATCTCGATAACTCGACGCGATTCGGTGCTTCAACAAGCGCGAATGGCTATTATCTAACGAACGTGGCCATTTAAAACCCGATCGTGACTGAAAAAATTCAAGAAAAAAACAACACACGACAACGTGTGTGCTTTAAATCCAGACGTCACTTTCTAGTTCATTGAAACGCGCCTCACCGATACTCCGCGACGCACAAAAATTTCGATTCTTCACGCGACGTACGTACAATATATCGGTAGCGCACCACGCTACACGTCCTTTTTTCCTTTCACAAAATTAATCAACATGGACAAGCTCGACCAGCTACGTTTACGCGCGTATAATCGATTTCACGGAGACACAAAGAAGAACGTGCAATACACGATCGCGTATTCTGTAAGAGAAAAAAAACGCCTCAATGTGCCCTCGTTCCGCGTGCGTGTAATAAAACGTTTTTTTAACAAATCTGTTGCAGGAAATTCAAAAGAAGCCCCCGGAACCGACTCGATCGACGGTAATATCGATCAGTCCGAAGATTCATTCTCCGAGAAACGACGGACTTTACGCGTTCGAGGTTCCCGCTTACGAGACGAGTTTTAACGGCGACACCGCCGCGAGACCGCCGCCACCGCCGCCACCGCCGCCGCCACCGCCGTCGTCGCTACCGCGCGAGACGATCAGCGGCAACACGATCGGTTGCGGTTCAGACGTGAAGACCCAAGAAGTGGTCTACCAATCGCCCGTTTCGTTCGCTCCCTCTAATCAGATCGCGCCGCACGCGACGAGAAACACCAGCGAATCGGCTCTCTCGAGTACCGGCAACGCGGCGATCGCGTCCGCGCAATTGTTGCCCCGCAGCAACAACAACGATAACAACAGCGTTATCACCAATACCGGCAGAATAACCGGCGAGTATTCGACGACGCAAACGACAACGGTGCCGCGAACGCCGACGAAACCCGAATTGTCGCACCCGATCAGCAGGCTCTGCGACACGATCGAGTCCGATTCCGAAAAGAAGGAAACCTCGTCGTTGGAAACGACGGAGAAGAAGGGGGTGGACGAGAGTGTCGCGAGGATCTTCAGCGTCAACAGCGACAGCAACAACAACAACGAGACAATCGTCGGCGCGGAGGGAGGAGCAGCTCAGCGCGGACGACCGGCCGTTGATGATCACAGGTGCGATCAGTGCGGAAAGACCTTCGTCACGAGGGCGTCGCTCAAGGTATACTTCTTCGTCAAAACAAGCATGTATTAAAACGCCTACGCGCGTTTGAATTATCCTTAGAGAAAACGGGGATTTTATGAACACGTCTAGAGTATCAACGCGTTTATATCTTTAGACACGCGCGACATAGAATATTCTTGTCTTAGAATTTAATTACCAACATAAATTCTCGATAGCTTTGGCAGACAGATCCTCTATCGGCGTTTTCCACGATTCTCACTCTCACAGTATCATATTCGCGCGTTTAATTGCCTTTTTCGCGATTTGCTAAAATTTTAATCTAACGCGTATATATCCTATTCTCGTCACTTATTTCTCGTCATTACGAGTGTTTAAATTATACATCAGCTCTCAGTGTCGTCGTGTCTATGTGCTCGTCTCTCTCTCTCTCGCAGGTGCACAGCCGCACGCACTCCGGCGAGAAGCCGTTTCGCTGCGCGGACTGCGGCAAGCAGTTCTCGCAGCTGCGCAACTACAAGTACCACCGCAGCGTTCACGAGGGCACGCGGGAGTTCGCGGCCACCTGTCCGGAATGCGGCAAGTACTTCAACGACCGTGGCTACCTAAGCTCGCACATGAAGATCCATCGGAACCGCAAGGAGTACGGGTGCGCGGAATGCGGCAAGAGCTTTAACCAGCGGGTGGCCTACAACATGCACGTGCGCATACACACGGGCGTGAAGCCGCACCAGTGCGACCAGTGCGGCAAGGCGTTCTCGCGCAAGATGCTTCTCAAGCAGCATCTGAGGACGCACTCGGGCGAGCGGCCGTACCAGTGCCAGGTCTGTCAGAAAGCGTTCGCCGATCGCTCGAACATGACCCTGCACACGAGGCTGCACTCCGGTCTGAAACCGTACCAGTGTTCCCTCTGCTCCAAGGCTTTCACCAAGAAGCACCATCTCAAGACTCATCTGAACTATCACACCGGCACCAAGCCGTACTCGTGCTCGAACTGCGGCGGCAAGTTCTCGCAGAGCAGCAACATGAGGACCCACTTCAAGAAGTGCATCGTCAACAACGCCGCCGGGACCGCGATCAAGTCCGACGTCGAGGTCGATCGCGTCGATGCCGAGAGCAACGCGCCGCCGCAGATGGTCCTGACGCCACCCAACTCGGATCAGGAGTCCAGCATCTTGACGCCGATCTCGAAGAACGTCGTCGCGACGGACGGCAACACGTAACGAATGTTTTTTCTTTACGAATCGAGGAAATATCGTGATAGTAGCACATGTTTCGCGGAAGACATTCGGGCCGCAAGTAGACCGCTTTGCGGTTTTACGAAGCTTTCTACGCGAATGAACGCGTAAGCATTTTTTTTTTTTTTTTTTCGAGGAGACCGAACTACCATCTGACGTGGTGTGTTAAAAATTTAATTATCAGTAAGCTTTCGCATTATTTCGAATTGATTAGCATGTTAAACAGCGCCAGTTTTGTTTTCGAATAATCCGCTGCTTGCGGTTAGCGGAAATAAAATTCGCGAGGTATCGGAAGTACGTGGATAGTATACGAGAATATCAATGCACTGTGCCTTCTAGTTCCTGTATTTATTCAACTAATCAGTTGTACATACACAGATCTTCATGTGTTAACTCGATCTAATATTTAATAGTTAATTAATTTAATTCAATTAATATTTTATAGATCAATTCAATCTAATATTTAATTGTTCGAAGTGCGTGTAGAAATAAGTTTTTTTTTTTTTAAGTAACACGTCGAATCGAGAGTGTTGGCAAATTTTAAACTCTCCGCCAAAAGGTTTATCTTTAACAAATCCGCTTTCATCTTTCGCGTTGCATAGATTGATAAATTCCTCTCTCTCTCTCTCTCTCTCTCTCTCTCTCTCTCTGTCTCTTTAGCTATAATTTTACCTTGCGTTTATTAAATTCCTGCGCGGTAACATTGCTCTTATAACAGAAGTGATTTCAAGAATTCACGGATTATGCGTCATTCCTTCGCTTCGTGTATCGTTGCGGATACAATTAATAGCCCCTTCGCCGAAACTGCAACATGTAAGATTGCGGCAACACGGTTAAGTCCAATTGCCGGTGTGTTTTGCAACACACAACGCAAACTCAATCGAAAAGTCCCGCGCGGTCGTTCGTAGGGAAGTATCTCCTCACATTTGAAAGTAACCGTCACTCGCGAGCTTCCATATCAGCGCGAATGACGTCCGCACACAGATCTTTTCCAATGAAATGCCCCTATTTGTTCCTAGAACGCAACTTTGTTAGCGATTGAATTGATTTTTTTTTTCCACAGGCAAAAAACCACGTCGTTCTATTGAATTAAACATCTCGCGAGCGGATCGCGAATGTTATTCCAGAAATGGAGATTTTTGTAAAGGAACTATATAAAAAAAAAACTTGACGGATGAGAAAATTGACGAAACCTGTGATTTGTGAACGCAATTTTTCAACTCAAATTTAGAATAATAATCTTATTGAATTTAAACAAAATTTTTTCATAAACAAAAAACGAAATAAATTCTTCCTCTCTCATATCTCTAAGTTTAAATTAATTAACGATTATTTAAACAACTAAGAATATATGTGATAAAACCAGTGAGTTATTTGAAACATAATGTATATTTATAATGCGGTGTATATTATATCAATTAACAAACTCGTATTAGTAGGAAATTGCGTATAACATATGCGTATATATGATGATATATCGACTGTATACAACAGATGTATATTATATATGTTTAACAAATAATATTACATAAAAAAAAAATACACATTTGTATTTTACACCTCAATTTTGAACGGATTGAATTATTTTTCTCTCCCCGTTTCGACACAAATAACAATAAAAAAAAATAAAAAAATTAAAAATAAATTTCCAATTATGTGAAATGAGCGTTTTACTGATGTTCACAAAAGTAAAAAAAAAAAAAAAAAAAAAGACCTCATCCTTGTGTGCAAGCAAAATAAAATATCGCAAATTAAAACGTAATACATGTTATTACGACTTCTCAATCAGGCTGAGTTATTTCCTCTGATTCAATTTGCAAAAATAACACGTCCCGAGCGATGCACCTTGTATTCCGAAGACAACGCGCGGTCCGCGTACGGCGCACGTACGAAATATAACGGTGCATCCGTGGGCAGATCCGCGGACAATAAATCGTGTGTCGCGTGGATGTAATGTTTTCCTCTCTCTTTCTCTTTTTTTTTCTCAGTGTCGTTCGGTATTATCGTATAAATCTCGCAGCGCGCGACACAGATCGCTCGTTAATATTCAAGTGTGAATAAATGACTCTGTCGGCGATACGTCATATTTTTGAGGAAAGCCGCACGGATATATCGCGCGCGGTGAGTTCTCTGCCATTAGCCCGTGTAATGCTCATTAAAAGCCGCGCGTCTTAGCGTTCGCGTCCGTCGCGCGTGAAATATTACATTCTTACTTACACGATCGCAAAAAACATCAACTCGCAACTTCGTCTAAATCGCGCTCATCTCTGATTTTCCGAGAGAGAAAAACGAATAAAATTATATACGCGCGCAATGTGTTTTTTGCAATCCCATTCAGATCCCACTGTGTTTTCTCAGAGAAGATACAAGATCCGCATGGCAGAGAACGCCGCATGTGTGAAGGCTAAATACTCGACCACGATTGGCTTTCACAGCACAGACGGGTTTGTTTCAACATTCGCATACGTTTGATCATTGACGATAGTTTTTTTTTTTTTTACTTTAATGTGCATTTTCAAACTACAAAAAAAAAAAAAAAAAAAACGACGACGAGATTACACCCATAATCGTCGAACGATTCGGATCTTCCTTTGGCATACACATATTTTGTTACGTCGGAATGTAGAAATGAGCGGATATTTTGCTCGAGTCGAGGATTCTTTCTTAGATATGCGCACAATAATGGGGAACTGTGTTGCCCAGCGCGTGATGGTTCGCGCAGATCTCTCTCTTTCTCTCTGGAGCACATATCAGATTACGGAAACGATCCCGAAGAAGAAGAAGAAGCGAATCGTGGATGCTGCGAGCGAACGATCGCACGAGATGCGAAATAACAGAGATCCGCAGAATCTCGCGTGTACAGCACGTGCAAGGTCAACCATTTGTGTGTCCGTAGATGGATCACGAACAGTGTAAGATGTGATCGAATCGGAATTCATCGATAAGAGAGAAAGAGTAAAACCGTGTGCAATGGGAGACGTGAAAATGTGTGTTTTTAACGCGTTTATGTTCTTCTTAATTTGCATTCTCATTAAAAATCATTATTTACAATTATATACGCGCGTGTATATTCTTCTAATTGATAGCGCAATTTGCGCGAACAATTAACGAATACAATCTTCCGCAGATATCGCAAAAAAATTCTATCAATATAGTCGCGGCAATTACGACTGCATTCTCGTCTCAATGCGTTTTTTACACATTCCCCTATATATACATCTCTTCCTGTATATACACGTCTCGTCTACGACATCATTATTAAACCAAGCGATTCTCCCCCCGCTTCTCTCATTCACCTAATTTGATTGAGAGAAATGGCATTGCCGCAGGACAAGACGACGCTTGCTAAAGACGATCTCGAACCAGCTTCGCTTAACAAAGACACGACAAAGCGCTATCGAGACATTATGCCCGACCCCAAATAGAAGATCCTTAAACGCCGAGTCATCCTCGGCGCATCGGCAATTAGCCGCTCATTAAGCTTTTTTATCGTACACACACACAAGTTTTCAACTTGACGAGCGGCAGCTCCGACCTCGATTACAAAGAACGTTATTTAAAAAAAAAATTCCACAAAAAAGGTTTATTATTTTTGTGTGACGTTTTACATTTAACGTTTTTAAACGCGCACAAGTGTGCGGACGATGTAACAAATTGCTCAAATTAAATCTTTCTCCAATCGCACGCGAAGCTGAAACCAAAACAAATAAATGACAAGTTTATCGAGAGAGATCTTATTTAAAGATGTCAAAATTTGAAATAATATTATAAATATCTTATCTCACCTTCTGCATTATTTAAGTAGCTTCATGAAAGAACGCGCGATAAGTCTTGAACCAAACTACATTTTGTTATCTTGGCGAGTTATCCGGTTTTCCATAAATAATTCACAAGTAGCGCCATGTATCTTGTTTGTTTTGTTTTTATCTCTTTCTCTCTCTCTCTCTCTCTCTCTCTCTCTTTCTCCCCACTTATTTGTCAACAAGAAATTATTTCCAGTCTCGTGTATCCGTGACCTATCCGCGAGCATTCGTGAATCGACACTGGCGATTCAAGACTACCAGGTCTTCCAGGTGGGGGAACCGAAACATCAGATAAAGCTCGTTAGAACTGGTTATACACAGACAAGGTGCATTACGATCTTACGGCGCGATACAGAAGATAAGCACCGGATAGAAGTCCATTTTGCCTTCGGGATATGGCGACCTGACCTCCTGAACTCGATGGCCGACAAGAGAAAATCCACCTGATCGACCGCTTCCACGAGAGTATTTTTTTTTTTTTTTTTTCAACGGTCCGTTCCACTAATTACACATTCGCGTTTCAAACGCGCGGAAAAGTTTTTTCTCTTTTTTCATGCAAACGCGCATATAATTTTCTAGTGGACGTGAAACGTATACGGAAAAGATGAGTTTATACCATCCCAATCAATTTATCACGTATGTAGAAAATAACACGTTCCTATGCGCGATTCTTTCTTCCGCGCTTTAAAGAAATTTATTATACAGTCGTAAATATTCCGCGATATATGTAAGCACGTACACTGCGAGATAATATATTTTCGTCAGATATGTATTTCGTCGTGCGTAGAATTACACGATCGTCAAGCGGAATGTGATTAAAATGTACGTCGGTCTTCAAATAAAAAAAAAAAAAAAAAAAAACGATTAAATAGTTATCCACAAACGCGTAAATCAATCGTCCGCATTCAATTCTCTCCGTCTTTGCGTGCGTCGTTTCGAAATCAATAAAAACCGTAGACGTGTACAAATGCAGATGACAATAATTATCCCGAGGATTGGACGAACATCTTCATTTTGTAAACACGATTGCTGATTGATTTAAATCAAACCGGTGCGGTGCTGAGAGCATTTAGAATGTTTGCGAGTGAGAAACGTGTCACGATGCGATATGTAAAAAGATTCATCGAGAGCAGCAGCCGCGATCTTTCAGAACTTGCTTATAAATATTCATGACATTTGCATATCCGTAATAATTTCTCGCGAGAAAACACACAAGAGATCCGAGTTTCTAATTCGTTTCTTCGCGAGAAAGGTGGGACACCTGTATAATCGCGAAGCCGCGCGATTGACAATCAGATTGCGAGCCGCGATAACGACACCGACCGCAACCGCGGTTGCTAAATACGCTTAATTGGCGAAGGGCGAGAGAGAAAGAGAGAGAAAGAGAGAGAGAGAGACGGGCGAGCGCGAGTTCCTCCCTATCACGAGCACCGCCGCGCGTTTAACCCCGAACGATTACCGAGTCGAGTTTCAACGTGCGCGTGCAGCACTTTCTTCCGCCAAGCTCGCGCCCGACAAGGACGCAGCGCCACGAAAGGATTCCTGCTAGCGCGAAAACGATTTTTCTCGCGCGCGGTCAGTTAAATCGGTGGATGTTACGTAAAACGCGAATCGTGTATAAAACCGCGCTGTATCGCCGCGGCGAGGCATCTCACCGACCGACCGGGGCAATTGCTCCGCCGCTGTCCATTATTCGAGCCGCGCGTTTGCATCATCGCGCGAAGCGAAGGGTATTGCTTTGCCTCTGTCTAAACGCTTTTCGATTAAGCGGTAAAGAACGTAACTTCGCGATAAGACCGGGAGATATATCTCGGTTTTTTGTTCACCTCTCGGTAATGTTTCTTTCTTATTCTCCGTATATAATTCAATTGCCGGATTAATCTCGATTGCTGAAACAAAATAAACCGTCCCGATAACTGAACGCGCGAGTTGTGTTCCCATAAAGGAGAGAACACACAGAGAACTTACTGCTGATACAATTCAAAAAAAAAATTTATCAAGATCTCCTCGAGAGACCGTCGACACGCGACTGTTCGACGCGACTTTCTCCGTGTTAACAAAAGCCATGACGAAAGCCACGTGGAACTCGCGAGCGATCGAAGTCATTCAACGAATGCGTGAATAAACTCCGATCCATTAGTATGTTGCACAATGCGCGTTTGGTGGGCGTGCGGACTACTTGTTTCACGAGGATCTGTTCGCGCGCGCCACAAAAATGGCCTCGGTCACGGTTTGTCTCTCAATGCTAACGACATTTTCTCCGTTTCGAACTTTGTACACGTGAAGCTTTACGCGCGCCGGAATATATATATACGGATTATCTGTTCTATTTATTTCTATAATTGATCTCCGCTTAATAAACGGACTATCTATTCTATCTATTCCTATAATTGATCTCCACTTAATAAACGAACACGCGATATGTCGGAACAGTTAAAACGCAATTCTCCGACGAAGCGGCGAGAGATTTTCTTTACGATGTTACGCGGCGCGGAATCCGTTGCAAAAGAAGAAGAGATCCCCGAGGACCGAGAGAGTCATCGGGGCCAGTTAGGTTAGATATCTCGACGATATTTATACACAAATTTATATACAAAGTTAAGAGCGAGCATCGCCGAGATATCGATATCGCGTCTTTTATTTGCAATAAGCGATGCGAGTAAATCTTCAGCGT